TGCACTGGCCGCTCAAGGCTACCCAGAGATCCCTGGGGCAGGAGCCCTGCTAAAGGACAGCAGCGTTTGACCTCTGGAAACCCCGTGTCAAGATCAGGATGGAATGGTACAAGCGAATGTGACAGGCCTCCATGCCCCGTTAGCAGAACAAGAGGGTGGGGATAGGGGGTGTGTGGGGTGAAGGTAGGTGTGGGGAGAGGGGGTGTGTGGGGAGGAGGAGAGGGTGCGTGGGAGGGGGAAGGGGAATGTGTGAGTGTTTTAAATAACTGGGGACCCACTTGTGATCTGAAAACAAGTTCTCAAACCCCCCCAAATTAGACACTTCTACCCCAGGCTCAGCCCTGAAGCCTCTGCCCTTTGCTGGAACCAAACTGTTTGCTCAAATATTCCAGAAGGGTTTGCTGTCAGCTCTTCCACTGATGGGACCTGGACCATACACGCTGGGGTACAAAGGCTGTTCTGCTCGTATTTCCATCCCGAGGCAGAGGAGGAAACACGGCCAGTCTCATGAGAAAGCTTCTTCTCATGCTACTTGGGAGAGATGCATGTGTAGGAAAACCATCCAGACTGTTGGGTGTTGATCCAAGCTGGCCGCAAGCCCCACTACCCAGGTGGGTACTGTCTGGAACAATCCCTTCCACAAGGAAGCTGCCACCACAGTCAAACTCCGCAGCACATTTCAAACAAAACATTTCAATGCTAGAGATGGGTCCAAGCCACCAAGTTCTGATCCAGAGCTGGAGTCTCCCAGCCTTTGGTCAACAGGGCGATTTGGTTTTGCAGACAGAAAGCCTGCAAGGCATGTGTCTCCCGTGTCAGGTGATGAGCACTCCCAATGCAGTACATGGACCATGTACGTTGCCCCCAGCAGACCCTGACAAGGCCAATGTTCCCAGAAGCGGCTAGCGATTTTGGGTGTCCAACCTGAGAGGTCTTAAAAGGAGCCTGATTTCCAGGAAGTGCTGAGCACCTGCCCTCAGAAAATTAGGGCCCTTTGAGATTTCTCACCCTGGGCACTGAGAAACTTGGGCATCCAACATCACCGATACCCACAGTTCCTACGGTTACCAGCAGGGCGCTGAGTGTCCCCCTAGAGCGGCAGGGAGCCGTTTGTAGGGCAGGAATCCACATTGTGCTCTGCAGCCTGTGTCGTCCTTTCCTTGCCCGGGTGCAGTAGCAATAATTATCCTTTGCCTCGACTGCGAACGGTTTCTGACCCAGGCGTGCTCGCACGTACGTGCCACGTCAGACGCCAGATCGAAGGAATCCCTGGTGCTGCTCTCTCCCCCGCTGCCTGCTGACATTTCACTCTTCCGTTAAGGCTCCTTCAGGGATGACATGACGCTGACATGACATAATTAAGTCCGACACTGTGATATTTTCAAAAGAAGGTAACTTTGTCAAACCTTTAATGCTATGTGCTCCTTGGCTCGGCTTCCTGTGGAATGTGTTGATAATCGTTCATGGTTCTTTAACACCCTGGCTGTTCGGGTTCCATCAATCATGCAGAGATTAGCCAAGGACATTTGCATGTTAGGGCACAGGAAGAGAAAACCACCTGGCCCTTTCATCTAAGGATCTCAAAGCATGGTAGAAGGATGGATCAATTACACTTCACAACCCTCTGCCCCGAGGAAGGAGGCAATTCTCATTATAAACCATCACCACAGGGTGAAAGACACCCAGTGCTGGGGCCAGCACAAAGGCCTATGCACCCCTTAGACTCTCAAAACATGATTCAAGCAGGACTTCAGGCCACGTCCACACTTGGCAGAGCGTTGTCTTTTGAACTTGTGTTAACTAGCACACATTAAAATCCTAGTGTAGGCAAGGCAAGGGATCATGTTAATATGTTAGCTGGTCAAGATAAACCCTTAGTGCAGAGTCTACGGGGAAGAACAAACATTTGTGATCTGGAACAAATATGAAGGGAGTGTCCCAACTAGCCTGTACGAAGGTGTTTAATCACCTCGAGTTAACTGGCAATCAACTAGCTCGAGGCAAAAGACTCTAGCAAAGACGAGCCCCTAACTTACAGCAGCCTCCCTGGTGCTACCCCCATGGACTGCACCTCAGCCCCCAATCCCCACAGCAGAGAGCACTACCTGGGAGTGCCCTGCCAGCCCCCCACCCCCGCTGACACACCTCCCTATGCTGGGCCCTGTATCTATTTTGCACAGGGGCAAACGAATACACAAGGCAGTGGGGCGGGGAGGGAATAATCAGGCCCACATGCGTTTATGTCAACGTGCCAACTCCCTGCTCTGCACACACTTCCCTGCGTGTGCGTGTCCGGGCTGTGGGGGTGTCCCACTCTGTTTCAGGAACAGCCACAGGTGAGTCACGACACGTTTTAATGCAATGCTGGATTCCCCTTTGACCTTCCCCTTTTGCCCATTGGCCTCTTGTCCTCCCCGGGGCTGGGGAGCCTCCGAAGGAACACTTCACCCCACAGTATCTCGTGAAACACAACCTGCCGGGCCCTATTGTGGTGCTTTGATGCCCCAGCCTTGCTGACGTGACACTGACAACAAGCTGCCGGGCAGAAGGCTCGAGTTTGACGGCAGGGCTGCTCTTCCCAAAGACCAGTGGACATCACGTCACCGAACAGGGCAACTGCACTGACCCGGCTCAGGACGCCCTCTGCTGGGCTGGGAGCCCGCTCTGCCGCTGGTCAGCGAGGGCCAGATTCGGATTCCCTCGCTCAGGCCGAACGGTGCCTGATTTCACCAGGGCTGGCGAGCTCACACCCCTTCCCGAGTCCCACAGCACCATGCAGCAGCTGTTCGCTGACCTCGCTGAGAGAGGCCGGGGGCTGCCGGGACTCGGAGGCCAAAGTGGCCTCTGCACTCTGGGCTGGGCAGAGGCGGGGTGGGGTGCGTGTGTGGGGACGACGGCCCTGCCGCTGTCCATATTGTATCCCGCACAGGGACAAACTGGGGGCTTCTCTCTCCATGGGCTGGCACCAGCCATCAATTCTCCCAACTGTGTGACTCCATTTCAGGGACACCGACCGGCCCGTACATGAACAAACATCGTGGGCTCTTCCTATAATATCTGCTCTGGTGAGATCTGCTCCAGGGCCCCTTCCCTGCTGGCATCCATGCCCTGACTGACACCACCTGCGATCTAGCACGTCCACCACTGCACCCCAGCTGGGCAGGGCATGGAACGGCGGTGGTCGCATTTCTTCAGGTGCTGGACGTGGGCCCCCTCCCCCTGCCAGAGACTCCCCCATGGCTGAACCCCTCCTCAAGTCTAAAAAGCCTCTGAACACACTAGCTTTGTTTGCAGTTTCATTCTCTGCTGCCCCTGACTAGGATCCTTCCCTGAACCACCTTTTTTATAAAAATGGTCCCATGTCATTGGGCTCTTGACCTGCTGTTTGCTGCTGTTTTTAGCTGTGTTGTGTTCAGTCATCCAGCAATAAAAGGCTTGAAAGAGAACTAAGAAAAAGTTGTCCCCAGGAAATTAATATTGTGTAACGTGGTTGTAAAGTGTGTTTCATTTCTCCCGCTAGTGGCTAGACTATATTGAGGATAACGGCTTACTACTGCTACCAACTATTGAAGCTCCTGCTCCTTTAGTTCACCACAGTGAGGATTACTGTAATTCTTGTTTGTATTTAGGGTAGTGCCTAGAGGCTCCGACCGAGATCATTGCGGTAGGTGCTGTACAAACACACAGTGAAAGCCAGGCCCTGCCCTGCCCTGAAGATCTCACAATCTAATCAGACAAGACAGTCAAAGGGTGGGAGCAGAAACAGAGATGAAGAAACTTGCCCAAGGTCAATCATGCAGCAGGTTAGTGATACAGTAGAACAGAACCCGGGTCCTTTGAATAGCAGCCAGGGCCCTACGCACTAGACTACATTACCTCCCCTGACTGAGCCCCATGGCACTGTGGGGTTTTGCTTTTGCAACTGAAAGAAAGAGCAAGAATCTCGGCATATTTTCTCCCTTTTTTACGACCCCTTTTCAGGAGATGTGGAGGGTCTCTCGCCAAGCCCCGGGCACAGCACAAAGCTCCATACAAAGATTCACACTCCTGCCCGAACTGAACAAAGCCACGCTGGCTGGTTTGAGGGCTCGTGGAAAAGCAAGAACTTTGGGAATGCACTTGAAGTTCTTTGTGACAGGCAAAGCACTCCCCAAATGGCAGCCGTGGGGAAGGCTGCCCCGTGAGAGGCGTTTTCGCTGTGGGAAGGCAGGCGGTCTGCCCGGTGAGAAGTCAGGCTAGCCATCCATCTGCCTAACGGACAGCATTTCCCTGCACAAACCTGAGACTGCTGATTGCAGGCTGGTGAAAACAGCAACATTTCCGCGCCAGACAAGCTCCCGGGATATGTGGGTCCCAAGCACGGAGTGACCCTGGGTCATGTCACACAGCACTTTCTGGCAGGCACACGGCTGGGTGAGGGCAGCCCAAGGAGGAGCTAACTCTGGGCTGTGCCAGGGAGCACCACACAGGTCCCCAGGGTGCTCTCCAGTGAGAGGCCACCGCTGGCAAGTGCCAAGTAACTCTGATCGGCGTCACCCACTGGGCATTTTCTGAACCCCAGGCGGGGGGGGGGGAGCAAATCTACACGGGTTGTTCTGTGGAAACCCCCCTTTTAGGGGTCCCGGTGCCACCCAGCACAGTTCCCAGCACTGGGACGCGCAACCCCCTCTTTTTAACCCCCCCGCCCCCCTACCCCGGGAAGTGCCCGGGTCTCCTGGCCCTTCAAACCTCCCTGCTCCCCACTCGGGACCTGGGCGCAGCCTGGTCGGGAACAAGGCAGCTAACCGGACCCCGTTTATCACTCCAGGGACCCGCGCCCCAAGTTCTGACCCACACGCCCCAGGGCCAGCCGGGGGCCTCTTCTGGAGGCCGGGGGCTGCCCCCAAAGCCGGCGGGAGCCTGATTCCTGCCCGCCAAACCCAGCCCAGCCCCGGCCAGCCCCGCTCCCCCCCGCCAAGGGGGCCGAGCAGCGCCGCTCCCACCCGCGCCCCACTCCTCACCTGGGCAGCGGCGACCCCGCCGGACATCTCGCCGCCCGCCTCCCCCGGAGCCCGGGCGGCCGGGGCTGCCGCTGCTCGCCTGGGCTGGGGCGGGGAGGCTCGGTCCCTGCCGGAGCGGCTCTTCCCCCGGGCGCGGGGGGCAGCCAGGGCAGACGGACGGAGCCAGGGGCGTGGGGCGCCCACGCAGGAAGGGGGAAGCTCCGTGGGCAGAGCAGGTCCCTTGTCGTCGCCTCCCTCCGTGCGCGGCAGCAAAGCATCACTGGGAAGGGTCCTGCCCCCTTCCCGGCCAGCCTTTCCGGGGGGGACTACACCTCCCAGCAGCCTCCCCGCGCCCGGTGGGGGGCTCCGGCTCCGCCCGCGGCCGGCTGCGGGAGTCCCCTGCGAGCCGGGCCGGGCACGGCGCGACCGGCTGCAGCCTTGGGTCTAGCGGGGGACTGGTCCTGCGCTGAGCAGGGGGTTGGACTGGATCCCTCCCGGGGTCCCTTCCAGCCCTGATCTTCTCTGAGTCTGTGGTTCCAGGAGAGGAAACCAATCCACGCACTGCCCCTGGGCTCAGATGCCCGGGGGGTGCGCGGCTCCGGCTCCCCCCGGCTCGGGCCGCAGGGGTCCGGGTCTCTTCCGCAGCAGTCGGTGGCGTCGCTGACAGTGAGGCCGGAGTAGTGCCGGCCACTTGCTGTCACTCTCTCGGGCTGCTTTTTAAAACCAAGAGGGTGTGTGGCTCTAAAGGATCTGCTCCGGGGATGATTTGGGGATGTGCCAGGCCTGTGTGATGCAGGAGGTCGGACTAGATGATCGGGTGGGTCCCTTCTGGCCTTGGGATCTGTACATTTTCTGCCCGGGTAGTCTGGGAGCTGTCTCGCACACCTCCAGCCTGGCAGGGACGTGCCATCTCTCATGCAGACCTATTGATTCCTTTCCTCCCCCAGGCACTGACGCGAGTGGCTCTGCTGGGCCTGTCAATAAACATTATAAGGAATCAAGCAGCCACGGTCGGTCCAGAGACACCCACTCGCTACAGCAGCTGAGGGGGGTCCGTGTGCACATCCCCCCCAGGGGATAGCCCACTGCTCATGGACACCTCTGTAAATACCACTGGGTGAGCCAGAAGGAAGGAGGCAGGGCGTGAAAAACACTTTTAGCCCATAAAATTACACCTAAAACGTAAAAAGGGTGATTAAAATATTATGCATGATCATGTACACCCAGAAAGGGATAATCACATCCCAAGCAATCATTACACATGAGTCACCAAGGCATCAGCATCACCAAGGTCACCCAAACTGCTGTGAACACACCAGACCATAGACTCATAGATCAACCGCACGGTGTAGGGAGGAAGGAGGAAAAGGGAAACAAGTGGGGTTGGGGGCTGGAAAGAGGAGACTGCAACTCATCAAGTCTACAGCATGTGGAAACGTTTCCAAGGGAACAGATTTCTGTCGGAAAACGCAGCTTTGACAAAAATCAAAGCATTCCAGGGGAGCGTAGCAATTTGAGAAATTATCAACATGATTCCGGTCATTTTGAGAATGTAAAAATATTTGGTTTGGGCTTTACCGTGTTTACTTACATTGTCACTTTTAATGGAAAAGTCAAAAAGTTTCAGGGTTATGACAACGTGGCCTGGCATGATATTAAGATGGTAGAAGAACATAAAACAAATATATAACAGTCCAAATAAAGCCAAAACATTTCAGTGGCCCCCAAATGAGATGAAATTTCTTCCCTCCAACCTCAGGAAGCTACTCCCAGGACTGGGAGTGAGGAGGGGGCATTGTGGGAGCTCTGCACTTCCTTGCCAGCCTCTTGCAGGGCAGGGTCCTGTGTCCAGGGTGGGGGTGGGTCTCAGCCCCCGGGGGCAGGAGTGGAGGCTGACATAATCCCACTTGGGTTTCCCAGACCCTGGGGGCAGCTCCAATTTGCGCAGAGCCATTTGCTGCTGGTTCAGGGAGCAGGGAATGGGGCTGCAGGGACTGGCCCTTGGAATCTAGGAATCCTCTGCTGAGCCCACTCCTGCAGCCACAGATGCTCGTGCTGCTGGGACGGCAGCTGTGTGTGTCCCTCCGAAATAAGATAGGGCCAGCAGGGAGATTTTATTTGTATCTGTGACAGATGCGCAGAGGAGGGAGACCCTGGGCATGTGCAGTAAGTGGGTTTGTTTACACCAGCGGAAACTGATTTAAGCAGCAAGTGCACTGAGAGACCTGAGCAAACTGGGACACGGCTATTTTAAAGTCACTCCCTGTCCAGCAGCCCGAGAGGAGAAGGCCCCCAACTGCCAAGGAGGCTGTTGTGTGATCCTAGAGCCAGAAAACACCTGAACTGGTTGAAGTAACCTGGCTCCGAAGCTGTGCAGCTCAGCTGATGGGAGATGTACATTTTAGCCTGATGTGGTTCAGACTCTCGGTTATGGAATTCTGGAAGGAGGCAGATAGTTAAAGGTCTGTTGCCATCAGGAATTTGGCCTCATAAGAATAAAGATCCAGCCCTCGGCAGCACTGGGCCAACTGTAGCATTGTGAGTCCTTGTGCTGTTTCTCTCTGTACCTGACTTTGCCAGATGACAACATGGTTCCACTGTGACAATCAGGGTCCAGGTACCCCAGGGAGAACAGGGGGGACTCAGCCCCAAAGAGTACGCCCTTGAATCAACTGGTGATATGCAATATTTTTGTACATAAAAGTGTATGAAGTAAGGTATCATAAAAAAACACGTGCCACGTTGGTCATGAATATCATCGCATGATGTAGGTACGGATGGTGTGTGGAATTCTGTATGTGTGTGCTGGAAATATGTGCCTAAAGTATGTATGGGAGCAGACTTGATAAACAAGTTTGGCTTAGACAAAGGAAAGTGGGTCCATCTGTCTCGGTCAAGCTTCGTAAGCCAAACGACAAGGAAAGTACATTTACATGTAAGGTAAACAAAGCAATTACGCTAACAAGCGACAGCTCAGTGAGCAAACCCCTCAGCCTGCCCTGGACAGAGCCTGCACCCCCAGCAAGTCTCCATGGCTAAGATGGCAAAAACAATGGACTTTGGTGAACCACATGGGGAGCAAACAGACATTCTCGTTACCCATCAGTTAGGGGACATCGGAACAGCATCCAAGTCAGAGCCTGTGAACAGTGGGTCCTCTTGGTCTGAAGGGCAGGAGCTGCTGCGATCTTGCTGCAAGTGAGAAACTGTTTTAGGTGAAGATATAATTTGTTAGAATTGAGTTTTAGTCACGGGAAAATGTGTTTTGCTTTGTTTTTTTGTTACCAGCCCTGTCTCTTTTCCTGTCCCTTACCTCTCTTTTCTTTGTTAGAAAGCTTTCTCGGTTTTACTATATAGCAGCCATCACAGTGCTGCATACTGAAGCGAAGTCTGCGGCTTACCTAGCTGGCTGGTGTGCGCTCTGTCTCTCTGGAGGGAGCAAACTTAATAATTTCTGTGAGTGCCTCAGGGGGAGGGGATGGACGCTGCAGAGAGAAGCCACTGGGGAGCTCAGGAACGGGGGCGCACATAGGAGGTGAGTTATATGGGCCCGTGGTTCCCGTGCTCCACCAATATTCAGAAACGTGGGCCCGGCTCCAACAATGTTTGCACTTATATTTTCAGAGCCGTCCCATCCATAGGGCTGGGGTGGGATCATGGGGGAAGGGGTGGAATGGGGGCGGAGCAGGGGTGGGAAGAGGCAGGGTGGGGGCGGGGCAGGGGTGGGAAGAGGGGGACCAGGGCGGGCTGGAGCCGGGTCACACGCTGCTGCCAGTGCCAGGCCCCCCACTAACCCCCCAGGCTGCCCAGGACCCCGTGTTCCCCTGAAGCACGGGGCCCCCCAAAGTATGAGGCCCAGGGTGGTTGCCCCAGTCCATCCTATGGATGGGATGGCTCTGCTTGGATCCGTTCTAGACACCACCAAAAATTATACAAACCTGGCGCCCATGGGTGCACTGACTGTTACCTGCGAGCCTTGCAGAGTCTGGAGGAGTTTGCTGGTGATGCTGACATACACAGTCTAATCTCCAGCAAAGCTCACTCCTGCTGAGGCAGAGGGGTGACGTGGTGGCTTGCAGCTCTGGGTGTCATGAGCACCACATCCACTCACTGTTTCCATCCTTGCATGCAGGCGTGGGAACGGGACGTGGAATCGCGCCGTCTGGCGCCTTTACAGCCCCCCCCCCCCCCCCGAAACAAACACCTGAAAGAGAAATTCCTCATCACGCTGCAGAGAGCTTTCTCCACCCCCTGGGTCCGAGGCCACAAATGCTTCACTCCTGCTGGTAGAACAAAGGCTGGCATGGAAAGCCACGTGCACCCCTTGGGGTCTTCCCCAGTGTCTATCTTTACACGGGGCAGGGCTGGAACCCAGAGCCCCATGCAATGGTCACATGACAGCCCTGGTGCTCATGGGGCAGGAACAGGCAGGGTGTACCCCACACAGAGTATCAAACCTGAGACGTGAGAGACTTGGGATATGGTTACCCTGCAATCAGGAGGTGTGATTACAGCAGGTGTAGACAGACCCCGGCTAGCTTTGAGCTAGGTAGCTCTGTAACAGCAGCGAAGGGATGCCACTTAAGTATGTATCGGGGTCCTGGGTGGGTGGAGGTAGCTTATGCAGCCAACTTATGCACTCCGCAACTTCGCTTCTACTGTTATGCTGATCTAGCTAGATCAAAGCTAGCTCGATATGTCTACAAATGCTGCAATCACACCTCCTGATTGCAGTGCAGACATGCCCTGGCATAAGGCTCTGATTCTCCAGGCAAGGGAAATGCGGTAGATCGGACTTAAGTAAAGTATTTGACAATGTAGCACATGGAAAATTATTCGTGAAGTTGGAGATTGGTACAAGGATTGTAAGGCGGAAAAGGAACTGTTCAGAGAGGAGACCATGAGTTGTGTTGAAAGGGGAGCTATTGGGCTGAAGGGAGGTTACTAGCGGAGTTCCTCAAAGATGGGGCTTGGGCCCTGTGACGCGGTGCCCCTGGCCTGTGCAGCTCCCTTCAGGAGCCCCTGGGGCCCTACTACACCCCGCCCCAGGAAGCAGCAAAGTGACTGGACAGGAGCAGCAAAGGTGGGTCCCCCAGGCCTGCCTGAGCAGCCAAGAGGCTCAGATCAAAGGCACCGCAGGCCCTGGCAAGTCTGGCTGGGAGCAGAGGAATGAACATGGGTGGAGCCGGACAATCAGACCGAAGGTATGGCTGGCTGAATGTACATAGCCGGGATTGCAGAGGGAGAAGGACCTGAGGACGCTGGCCCTGAGGTAGGGCTGGAGATAAAAGAGCCCCATAGGAAGAGGCCCAAAGAGACAGCAGCAGAGGATTGAAGTTGAGCAGTAGGGCTGCTGTGTGCTGGGGGGAACCTGGAGTAGTGGGCGAGCCTGGGTTCCCTACTGGTCACGGGTAAAGTGGTGTAAACCGCAAGAAGAGGACAAGGCTTAGTTGGGAGGCTCCAAACCCAGCTATGCCCCTTGTACTCTCTGCAGTCACAGGAGAGATGCCCACCCATTCATCACAGAGAGTCCCTGCTCAGTGCTTTGGAGGGAAAGGGTCTCACACCAGTGATCCTTAGTTATCTAGTTATCGCAGGTCTTAAAACTAGCACCGTGCTCTCAGCCTGGTTTTCCTCAGCTCCCACAGTTCCAATAGTACGCAAATCGCTTTTGTGCCTCCAGAGCGGCTGCATGTTTTGGCTATTTAACTAAGACATTCTACTTCCCAAGTGTGCCTCGGGTGTTTGAGTTAAATATGGGTTAACAAAAATAAACATCAACGCATTTTAAATAACCACTCCCCCTCACTGATATCATAACCCTACCACTCCTCCAGTTACCCACAGGGTCCCTCAAGAAAAAACGGGTCACTTTCATGCCTTCTCTAGCAGAAAGAAATAGGAAAAGGCCCAAACCCACAGTGCTTCCCTTTGCAGCAGCTGAGACTAGCTGGAGCCCAGCCATGCTCTGGCTGTGCCTGAAGTTCCCCACCCCGCCCCTGATGTGCCTAGATTACACACCATTATGCCT